GAAGAAATAAAAAAAAAGATCTTGTAATGCTTCTATGAGGAAGACAGCTTGTTCGTGCGGTATTTTTTTAATATTACTTATTGAGGACACATGTCTCCAATTCGTTTTTCTAACCACCGATGTCTATAACATTATTCTCCCTTGGGATCTATTCAGTAACTGAATGTCGTCAACCTGGGCTGTCACCATATGATTGTCAAACCCCTGAGGAGGTGTGTTCATTCGTTCTGCACAAAGGGAGGTAATCACTTTCTACATCCCTACAAAAGTTTGGAAACAAGCCCGAACACTGACTAAAGCAAATGCACCACAATTATTGACAGTCGATGGTTTCGCTTGGTTTGAGTGGATGTGTATATTTATATATAAGGACGTCAACGTATATTTCGTACTAACAACCTGCTTGCATTTGTCGCCATATATGCTTTTCCACCTTTTTAAAATAATCCTTTTGATTTTGTTTAGTCGCATATAAACACTTATGGGTTACTTAATGCCGAAATCTAAATATTTTGAATGCAATTTTATGTCTTCAATTGTACATTGTGTACATAATTTTATACTTTGAGTAAAAGTATTTTATTTAGATATATAGTTTGTAGATCATAAAATTTTACTATAAGAATGTATTTTTATATTTTTAGTGTTGCATTGATTTTCATTTTGCGATTAAAAATATCTTTTGGTTATTTTGCTCATTTTATTATAACAATATACGGTTGATTTCTATTTTACCATAGCTGGGACCCTCACAGGTGCTACCATCCCATGTCAGGGTGGACCGAGAAGAAATAGCAATTAAGAGATTGTTCCAGACTCTTAAAATCCCCTGCTTTCCTGATCAGGGACATTGCTGCCGGTTGTAGTTTATCGTCATACCCAGGACAGTTTTTAAAAAATATATTTTTGTATTTATTCTTAACAAAAACAGTAACTAACGCTAGATCTGCATATACATCAACATATAATTGCAATCTTGGTAATTGTCAGGTCTTTTTGTCCTATTGCAGCGAAAGAATTGATTGAGATGCTTTGTTTTATAACGGATTATCAACCATTTGTGTGTCATCTAAAGTCGAATCATATATTTTGGGTTGCAAGGGATGTTCGAGTGAATATTGCATGAAGAACTTAAAAAAAAAAACAACAAAAAAAAAAAACAATGATTTTCCAGATACAAATCTTACTCTTAGTTAATGGTGGGGAGGATGTGCATTCATGCCTTTCCCAAGGGGGTATTTTTGTGTAAGTGAATCTAACGAAGTCGACTGGGATTCCAACTGATCTCTCCGATTTTTATTTCCGAGCCGCCGGCCATTAAAACACCCGCATATTCAGATGACGAAAGAAAGTACCTAGGTATATATCCCGCCATCATGACAGTCGTTTATCATATAGCACATTTACTATATGTATTCCATTACAGATTTCTTGTTCTTTTCTCCATTCGATATCGTGTGATACAGCCTTCAAACTATTTATTGCTTTATCCCCAGGAAAGGATCACACTATCTGCCATTTTAAAATTTAGATGGATAGATTGAATACACTAACTTAGATAGATAGATAGATAGATAGACAGACAGACAGATAGGCAGACATGGTACACTGAATTAAATACATAGGACACACTGACTTAGATCGATAGATAGATAGATAAATAAGTAGGAACAGACTGGGATAGATAGATAGATAGATAGATAGATAGATAGATAGATAGATAGAGAGAGAGACAGACAGACATGGTACTCTGAATTAAAAACATAGGACACACTGATTTAGATAGATAGATAAATAAGTAGGAACAGACTGGGATAGATAGATAGATAGATAGATAGATAGATAGGGCACAGTGAATTAGATAGGACACTGACTTATATATATATATATATATATATATATATATATATATATATATATATATATATATATAGATAGATAGATAGACAGACAGACAGGCAGACATGATACACTGAATTAAATTCATAGGACAGATCGATAAATAGATAGATAAATAAGTAGGAACAGACTGGGATAGATAGATAGATAGATAGATAGAGAGATAGAGAGAGAGAGAGACAGACAGACAGGCAGACATGGTACACTGAATTAAATACATAGGACACACTGACTTAGATAGATAGATAGGAACAGACTGGGATAGATAGATAGATAGATAGATAGATAGATAAGACACAGTGAATTAGATAGGACACACTGACTTAGAAGGATAGATAAATATTAACAGACTGAGTTAGATAGATAGATAGATAGATAAAGAGACTAAGATAGATGGGTAGATGGATAAAGAAAAGACTGAGATAGATAGATAGATAGATAGATAGATAGATAGATAGATAGATAGATAGATGCTGCTGCTACAACCATATATCGTGCATGTGGCGAATGGTTAGAGCATTAGTCTTCTTACTATGCGGCCCACATACGATTTTTCAAGGTAATGACTGCTGTTATTATCTTCCTTGCGGAGACAATTGCAGCACCAATGAGAAATACCTGAAAGCGCTATAGCATACTTAGCCCAGGCCTTTTGAGTGAAAGCGAGTAGACGAAACTACTTGGAAGCCACCAATGGCTTTGCTGTATAAATAATGATAAAGTACATATAAACGAGTCATCTGCTGACAAAATAACACATAAGGAGTTGATATACCGTTAAAAAGACCAAACCAAAAGACGCATCTGCATTAGGTTAGGTCCACTTTTAAACCAGACTCTTGGACAGGTCGAGATAAGGTTAATTTGCAGTGTAACACCCCGGCTCAATTCGCATTAAAAATATCCAGTATACTTACATTTATGTGTAATTGTACATGCTTCATTCGAATCTGGCTTGATAAATACGATAAAATCTACTATTCTGGAGTTTTCAACAGCGAAATTTCAGATACATTGGCGTCGTTGGTGGCAGCCATTACTGTCGTTCTTTGCATGCATTCGCTGCTGAAAGCTAAGCCCGGAATTAATCTTTCTTGTCTAAATTTGTCTCAATTACTGCGCACGAGAACTATTTACGTAGATACGCTCAGTTTAGGCAATGATACGTACACTGATAGCAATTCTGCAGTGAATGTATGGAAACAACTCCAGTAATGGCCGACTGCAACGAAAACGAATCCGAACTTTCACTGTCGATATGAAATTCAAGCATCTTTTATAAAGGTTATGGGACCTTACCCATAATAACATAATGGACCATCCCATACGTAATAAATACTGCGCCTCTCAAGAGGAAGCAGAGAGTTCAGTCTGAAGTCTGGAGTGAGGTCCGCCAGGAGTCTGTCAGTCAGTCAGTCAAATCGAGTCAGTCGAGTCAGAGGCAGTCCGAAACAGAGTCGCGTTCAGACAATTACTTCTAAACCTGGTTGTTCGTACTAACACTTCCTACTTCTCCGTATATATTCCTGTTTGTAATATTTCTGTGTTATTCCATATCCGTATTCGAGTTCTTCTTTATTGGTTCTACCTTGGACTATCACCGTAGTACAAGGAACCGGACCATAACAATAAATAACACCATATTTGAATTGCCTAATTTTCCTTCGCATGTGTTGAGAGAACATTGAAATAAATATTTGAAGATTCTTCCCTTGTTTACGGATTTCAAGCAAGACATTATTGCAAAATCCTTATGTCGTCAACTAAAATCTTTCTTTGTTTCTAAAGGCTTTTACACTGAAAATGTTGATGATATAATTATATATTTGAATTGAATTAGCTTTCATGGAATATAAAATTTATTTATTAGAATAGCAAAACTTTCTTGATTTACTGTTGAAATAATAACATATTTCAATGAAATATTGTCAAAATGGACGCCTTTTCAAACGCATTTTCAATGTCGTTTTTTGATTGCTTTTTCTCAAAAGGGTTCTAAAAGTAGTAATCTAAAATTTGATTTAAGTTTTTATCCTATCCCAAGTCCTAAAAATTTAGGCTTGTCCAAAGTTGATTTCGGAAAAAAAAGGTAAAGTCCACCTACCCTAATATACATGCAAAACTTACCTGTATGCAAAGTTTGCAAGTTATATCACATACTTAACATTTTGATAGTTATTTACATTATAATTTCGAGCTTTTAAAAAGTAGTGAATTTCTCCCTTTTAGTATGAATTCATAAAAAATAACGCTATACTTAAATAGCATAACATTAGGAAAATCTGTGTTAAAAAAATCGTTTAATATTATAAAGCATCTAATTTTAGGAAAATCTATAACAAAGTGGAAAAATCTTTCGTGTGACGCGTTTCAGCCTTTAGGACTAAAGTGATGTTTGCGTTGATGTAATTACACATGGGGATGAAGGAGAGGGGATGCTTAGAATTTTAAATTTAATTTCTTTTTTTTTAATATGTTTGGCTATATGTTCTAGCCGATTTCATTAAGGTTCCTATGGTTTATGCTTTTATAATTTTCTTTAATCTTTGATTGATTCGTTTTCTACGGTTTATCAACCCTTTTTAAGGTTATTTAAAGCCAGAATTTTTAAAAAATATGTATTTGTGTATATAGTGTAGACGATTTCATTCAGCTACTTTTACATTTTGTTTATGTTTTTATTATTTTCTCTAATGTTCGATTGATTCATTTTCTACGGTTTATCAACCCTTTTCCAGGTTATTTAAAGCCAGAATTTTTAAAAATATGTATTTGTGTATATAGTGTAGACGATTTCATTCAGCTACTTTTACATGTTTTTATTATTTTCTCTAATGTTCGATTGATTCATTTTCTACGGTTTATCAAAGTCAGAAATTTTTTGTAGGCTGTAAAAATTTTACGTTGTTTTTGTAGTTAATAAAGGCCAAGTGACACAGGTATTACTAACCAACCCATAGCGGGGGTGGGGAAGAAAACGCGGATTCATACCTTTCCCAAGGCCATTTTAGCGCGTGAATAAATGTCAAGAACACAAAGAGAATTGTGTGTACGATTAATAATTCCGACCCATTATACATTACATCATACTGACATGCAAGCTTACAGCACCCAGTATTGATAAGCGATCACCCATCTACTTACTGGCAAGTCTCGACGTTGCTTAACTTCGGTGATCATACGGGAACTGGTGTTTCAATGTGATGTTGTGGACGCCTGTTTTTTTTTTTTTTTAATCAGTTTTGTTATTATTTATATTATTCGGACCATTGTCCCCATCTTTGTCGCCATATTTATTACAACATTTCGGTCGTTGTACGCTCCGGCCTTTTCAGTTGGAATGTCGAACTGAACCCTTTATTTCGCTCACTGGGATAGACGGTTCTAGTTACACGTGCCATGTTTAATGGATGTCAGTTATCAGCTATCTTCTGTTAATTCTCCTCTCCAAGTTCTCCACTGCCTTAACCGCGTATTGAACTCACACACTTTGGGTCTTGTCACTGGATCTAACTAACGCCTTTATCCAAACATATATGCATGTGTGTATATGTGTGAGTGTATGTGCGTTTGATTTATTAATTCCTATCTCTTTATCATATATATATATATATATATATATATATATATATATATATATATATATATATATATATATATATATATATATATATATATATATATATATTATTCGACTATTGCCCTCATCTTTGTCGCCATATTTATTACAACATTTCGGCCGTTGTACGCTCCGGCCTTCTTCAGGTGGTTGGAATGTCGAACTGAACCCTTTATTTCGCTCACTGGGGTAGACTGTTCTAGTTTGACTGTGCCATGTGTCCTTGAGAACACATGGCACAGTGGATAAAGACGTTGGTTAGAGCCAGTGACAGCACCCAATGAGTGTGAGTTCAATACCGTCCTTTTGAAGGGTATGAACACCACAAAGATATTGCAAGGCGGAATTTTTTTTAAGCGGAGGAAGACGTTGCACTAAATCAACCCTTCATGAGCCAATCAAGATCCTTCAATGTTGGCAGGCTTCAGAGTTTCCCTTACTCAATCTAGATACCTTAGCGAAGGCTAATGATTTCAATATTCTTAGCTTCGCACCTGGATAACAAAGCACTTATTTTTGAACTATCAGGTCATCCCATATGTTCTGTCCGAATTTTACCTAATGCTAATTAAGGACATATGTCACTACTCATTAAATGACGAGGCAAGTCCGTGCATAGATGGGTGACCGCTTAGGATCCGCAACTCACAGAACTAATGAATTTCAATGGCCGATGGGTCCTTGCGATGGACCCGGGTTTCCCAGGAGATAGGTTATTTTATCGAATGCGTGATTTCATCGTTAGTATTGTTATCAGACGAGTCTATCCTGCTATTTAACCGGTAAGTGGAAGTAGAACAGATGAATTTATACCTTTCCAAAGATATTTGCGCGTAAATGAATATAATTGAAAGTAGAGGTAAGTTTTATATATATATATATATATATATATATATATCAGGTCATCCCATAATTTCTGTCCGAATTTTACCTTTTTTTAAAATGAACGAAATTTAAAGAGTATTTTATAATGTCTAATGGAGCTGAACATTATTTTTATGCTTAGATGCATTTAAACTGATCAAATTTTATTTCAGAAAACAATAAAATTAAATTTTGTTTGATTAAAACCCTGCTAACATGGAAGTACCCAAAAATCATTTGAGACACATAATGCTTTATGAGATCAAGAAAGGAAACTCAGCAGACGAAGCGGCTAGAAACATTCACTCAGTTTAGGGAGAGGAATGTGTGAATGAAAGAACTTGCAGAAGATGGTTTGCAAAATTCAGAGGTGGAGATTTCACCCTTGAAGTTGAAGATCGAACCGGACGTCCAGTTGAGTTTGATGAAAAGCTTCTTGAAGCAGCCCTTGAAGAAAATCCTGCTTTATCAGTTGAGGAATTGGCAGTGGTTCTCAGGTCAAACCATACAACTGTTCATTGTCATCTTCGACAACTTGGAAAAGCTCCTAAACTTGGAAAATATGTGCCTCATGAATTGTCTGAAAACAACCTCAAATCCCGAGTTGACATCTGCTCTTCTCTCCATTCTCGCCAACTTGTTTCACCTTTTTTGAATAGACTTGTGACTGGCGACGAAAAAAGGATCTTTTATCGAAATGTTAAGCGTCGTAGACAGTGGCTTGGTAAAGGGGAAGGACCCCAGCCACAGCCGAGAAGGGAACTTCATGGGCAAAATGTTCTTCTTTCAATCTGGTGGGATCGCCAAGGAATAATCCACTTTGAATTCTTACCGCCTAATGTAACAATTAATGCTCAAATATACTGTCAGCAATTAGAGCGTTTGAACAAGGTTTGAGGAAAAAAAAGACCTGCTCTAGTGAATCGAAAAGAGGTGATGTTTCATCAGAACAATGCGAGACCCCACACAGCAAGAATCACGTCACAAAAGATCGAAGAACTTGGCTGGGAGAAAATTCCTCATCCACCTTATTCTCCCGATCTTGCTCCTTCAGACTACCATTTGTTTCGTATCTTACAGAATCATTTGGAAGAAACAGCTTTTGTAACACAGGAAGAGGTTAAAACTGACATTTGTGAGTTTTTTGAATCAAAGCCAAAAGAATTTTACAGTAATGGAATTAGTATGCTTGTTAATAGATGGAAGGAAGTCATAGATAATCAGGGAAAATACATTGTTGATTGAATCTGTAATTAAATGTAACATTTGGTCACTTGTTTTCTTTATTCAAAATTCGGACAGAACCTATGGAATGACCTGATAATGGAACCAAACAGAACAAATGCAGTTGTCATATGTGTTCTAGCGTTATTCTCTGAATAGGGGTACAACAGAACTACACGAGAAACCAAAAGGAATTCTACTGTTCTTGTCATTTCGAGTTTAAGATGTTTTAAAAGCCAGCCTTAGCTAATAATGCGAGAGATATCGGAAAATTTATTAACTCCACAAACCTCTCAAAATCTGGCCAAATGACAAAACAACAGATGTTTGCCTGTGGAAATATTTATACCCTTGAAAAGCACCCTTGACGTTATACTGGTGCTTAGGAGGTGAGTGATAATAATAAAAATAAATTATTGTTAATCAATATATATATATATATATATATATATATATATATATATATATATATATATATTGCGTATATCTTGGCAACATATTTTAATTCAGAAATGTTTCATGTTTCATTGAATAATTTAGACAATATTTGGCTACTTATTTTCAATTGGATCCTTTCATATTCACTGACAAATTTTTGGTTTCATTATTAAAGGAAGAGAGAAAATTACTGTGTTGATACATATTATTTTATTCCGAGTAATTTCGATATTAGAATAATGTTATCATCAATGTGTGGTTTATTTCATGTTTACAGTAGATAATTTAAAATACCGAGGTTCACACTAATAGCTTTAATTCTTTTCTTTTTATGTGCCATGTCCTTTCAGGGTTAGGTTTTCCACATCCCTCTATACCTTGCAGCTCTCATCAAACTCCTTTCCGTCTGCTTCCTCCCCCAGACCACGTTCTGTCATCCACTTGCCAAACTTGTCAGGCATGTCACGCGCGGCTTTCCTTTGTCTGTCTTTCCTTCTATTCGACCTGTGAGTATCAGGTTCTCCAAGCCATCCTTCCTCATTATATGTTCCAGAAACTTCAGCTGCCGCTTTCTGATGCTAGGTACAAGCCTCCTTCTTGTTTGCATCCTCTCTAAGATCTCGTCGTTGCTCACACGCTCGGTCCATGCTATACTTAGCATCCTTCTGTAGAACCATTTCTCCGTCACCTCGAGTCTCTTGCTCATCCTTGCCGTAAAGAAGAATAGATGTCACGTAACAGTTATTCTTTTCTTTGTTACCAAGGAGATCCTGCTCAGCTTTTGGTATGTGTCCCTGGCCATCCCAATACGCCTGCGAATCTCAGTGTCGCACTTACCATTCTTTGTCAAGAGGCTTCCCAGATATTTAAACTTCTGCGTCTGCTTGATTCTAATGTTCCCGACCTGCAAATCGCATTTCGGACTCTTTCTCCTACTGATGACCATGCATTCTGTCTTCTTGTAGTTTATTCTTAGTTCTTTCTACTCACTCTCCGTCGCTACCTTCTTCAGAAGATTTTGTAATTTCTTTTCCGTTTCTGCTGTCACTACTTATGGTGTTAAGATTGTGACCGCCAATGCTAAATCCCGGTAGGATTTTCAGTTCTCTCAGAATTGCCTCGCTGTTTAGGTTGAACAGATCAGGTGAGAAGGCACATCCTTGCCTTACGCCCGTTCCTATTTTCGTATATTCACTGAACTCGTTCCCTATGCGCAAACATGCTGTTTACTGCCAGTATAGATTCTTGATTATTCTGACATCCCTCCCGAATATATCAAGGTTGCTGAGCAGTTTCATCAGATCCTTGTGGCTTACTTTGTCGAAGGCTTTTGCGTAGTCTATGAAACACAGATGCACGTCCTTCTGCATCTGTATTACTCTTTCTGATAACATTCTGAGCATGAATATCGCGTTCCTTGTTCCGTTGTCTTTAACGGACCCGTACTATTCTTGTCCTATCTCTGGCCTGATTCTGCTGCGCGTCCTGTTCATCGGAATACGGATGATGAGTTTCGCTATGTGGCTCATTAGGCTTATTGTTCTGTGGAGTTCGCATTCGTTTGCGCCTGCTTTCTTAGGCATAGCTATGAAGATAGATCTGCTGAGGTCTTCCTGTATGTCCCAGCTGTTGTAGACTACATTTGTTTTTTCGGTGAACTTGTCTATGCCAAAGTCATCTAAGGCTGTCAGCATTTCCGTTACAATTCCGTCTGGCCCAGCTGCTTTGTTTCTGTTCAATTTGGCCAGTGCGGCTTTTAATTCGGTTTTCAGATTTCCAGGTTCGTCGGTAGTTCTGTGTATTGTTGGTTGTTCTCTTTCGTCGTGGAAGAATTCTCCAATATACTCACTTCAGCGTTGAAGAATTTTTTCCTTCTCTAATATGAGTGTTCCATCCTTTGATTTTAGGTAGCCTGTTGACGAGCATGTCTTCTGTGCTTTTAGCTGTCTTATTTGTTTGTGCATGTCTCTTTTGTTGGTGGTACTCAATTTTTCTATTTCTGCACATTTTTCGTTTAGCCATTCTTCTTAGCTTGCCTGCATTTGGTCCTTGTTTCATCGTGTAATTTTCTG